AGGACGAAGCGAAACAGACAGATGCCGACTAGGAAAGTGGGAGAGGGGGGTGGGAGCAATCAGAGAAGAGAAATGAGAATGAGAATAGGTGGCAGGTCCATTGGACCTGCGAGAATGTGAAGGATCTTGTCTCCTTTACAGAAAAAAATCCTCTTCAAATCGAATCACAATCTGTATTTTTTTTGTTCCTAAAAAAATATTCATATTGTGACACGACTTTCAGAGGAGTGTGCAGTGCAGTCGTCATAGGTCAAACAAAACATCAGGGAGGGGGTTGGCAGCGGTAACGCTCAAGCGTGGCTGCATATCGAGCAGTCGGACTGGAGCAGAGAGGGTCCTGAAGGGTGCGTGAGGCAGCAATAAGCTCACGATCGAGCTGGGTGACATAACGCTCCTTAGCCGTGTCCCTGCACTAGCAGCCGAGGGCCTTAAGGAGCCGATCAGGAACACCAACATCAATGGCCGTGGTGGCGGCGGACTTGCAAAATGAGTGTGTGCCAAGGACATCAGGATTGATTCCGACCCGAGAGAAGGAATCCCGGCACCAACTCCGAATGGTGGCATACGAAGGGGAGCGATCGGAAGGGGAAGCTCGAGAGCCCGGCTGAAACACACGGATGAGGGGGCCAAGAGACTGGGCGGAGTACCCAGCGAGGAATTGGTGGATGTGAGAGACAGGGCAGTGTCGAGCGGAGGAGGCAGCCACAGGAATCCATGCACCAGTACCCACCTGATTGGTCTTAGAGCGGGGAATGAACAACCACATACAGTCCCGGTCAAACTCAATCTGGTGCCACTGGAGGGATATCAGATCAGAGAAGCGCAGAAAGGCTGCAAACATGAGGAGATGGATCAGCCCCTTCTGGAAAGTCGCAGGCTCGGACAACGCGAAGTAGACGTCGCAGATATCGTAGATTTTTTCGGGTGGTATCGGCTCCTTAGCTGAGCGGGTCTGCCGCAGTGGCGTTGCGTGTACTCCTTCACTTGGGAAGATAACGGACCGCGAATAGGAGAAGGAAGGCCGACCAGCCAATGGTCACATGAGATGGCGGAACATGCGGATCGCACTGCTAAAACAGTGGCGCCACCGCGGATCGAGTGCAACAGGAACAGTGCTGCCGTAAGGTCGCTGGCAGGAAGAAAAAGAAGCGAGTGCGCGGTATAAAAGGCCCGATACTGTCGCCAGTAGGGCTCGTATGTTCGAAGATTAGACTGTGCACGAAGATCGACTGTGAGTGTCAAGAGATCCAAAAGTAAGCGGCCAAGGTAGGAAACTGCGCAGAGGCACAGCCCTATGTATTAGTGAATAGCAAGCGAAGCGCGTACATCAATGAGTTCGGGAGACCTGCACCGCTAAAGGCACGTTGGTCGCTACCAATGCGCAAACAACTAGAGCCAGAAGCAAGGTGAATGGTTGCGACCACAGCAGGGGCCCAAGAGGAGCCGTCCGGGCATAACAATGGCCACCAAAAGGTGCTAGGCCAATGCGGGATTACAAGGGTGAGCGAGGCGCGTGAGCGGCGGGCGTGGGCGAGGACAGCGGGGATCAGGGGTGGGGGAGGAAAGGCATAGCGATTCTCGCCCGACCAGCTAAGAGAAAACGCATCCAGCGCGACTACCGCGTGAGAGAGCTCGAGCGAGCAAAAACGAGCCAGCTGCGCATTAGCCGGGGAAGCGAACAAATCAATAGTATCAGGACCCCAATGCCTCTCTAGCAGAAGGAATTGTCGTGCGAGAGAGTAATTGTCGAGAAGATCCAATTTGGAGAGCGCTTTGGCTTCTGTATTAAGGGTGCGCATGATCCACTAGACAGTGAACTGAATTTGGTGGCGCACGCAAACGGGGATAATAGCTCGGCATGTAAGAATCAACTCAAGCCGGCGCGAACCCCTTTTCTTCATAATGTAATAGGCCGCTTGGCTGTCGCTGCGGAGCAGGACGTGCGAGCGTTGGACCTCGTCAAGAAAGGTTGACAGTGCCCAAAGGATGCCAGCATGTTCGCGGAGCGTGCTGGACGAAGAGACGAGGGCCCGGGGGAGTGGTGAAGCATGCAAACCGGCATGGCCGTCCGGCGCTGAAAAACACACGCCCCATGCCCGATCACTGGCATCCACATACATCACGACGTCGTAGAGATGAGGATTGTGGAAGCGCGAGCCATTGAAGACATCAAGCTGGGTGAGCCAGAAACGCACTCATTGAGTGAGCTGGGTGTCAAGAGAATTGACGCCCCCCAAGAGTGACACTCAGAGATATGAGAACGAAGATTATGGGAGAAGGCACACGCGACCATGCCAAGCGCGAGCGCCATGGAGGCTAGCAAGCCAGTGATGCGAGTGGCCCGACGGACTGGGATAGGCCGCCCTTGCGCACTAAGTGCACATGTCTGCTCAAGTTCAGCGAAGAGTCGCTCGCGTCTGCCGGCATCAACGGAGAAAGACGTGGAGCGAGTGTCCAGCAGGAGGCCTAAATCTTTAGGCACTGGGTTGGTTTGAGCTGCGACTTCTTGAAGTTGACAGCGAAGTCAGCTGATTGAAGATCCGTTAAAATGACGGCACGGTGGCGAAGGGCCTCGGCTCGAGTAGCGTTGATGAACAAAATATCATCGACTTATGGGATAATTCGGATGCCGCATCCGCGCCAACGTTTTGCGAGCTGCTTGATCAGCTGAGAAAAAACGAACGGCGCAGTAGCTAGACCAATAGGCAATTATAGAAACTGGTAGCGCTGCCCTTGGAGTGTAAACCCGAGGAAACGCCAATACAAGGGATGGATATCCACATGGTGGTAGCCCGATTTTAGATCGATGGTGAATAGCCAATCGTTGTGAGAGTACGACCCCGTTACACCACTTGTCCTTTCCTTACTTCCTTTCTATTTCATTTCTCTTTTTATCTCATCTCCATTGGTTTCATATTCTTCCTTTTCCATTATCCTTTGGTTTATCCTGCTATTATAATTATATAACCGACCGGGCTCGGGATGTACTGGCGTGCAATAGCTAGTGTAATCCTGCCGTAATCCCTTAAAGCCAATAGCCTCGCGTGACTATACGCAGGGTGATTCTATTTTCTAGAAGGGTCTATTCCCTCTGGATAGGATATACATGGTTACCTGATGTACTCTGGAAGTATAAAAGTGCCTGGTATGAATCGATAGTGCAATTTTTCCTCGAGACATTCGATCCTGTAACACTTGGTAATCAGAGCTTTTCTCACTCGGCCGCGCTCAACAAAGCAGCAGCAGCAGGAAAACCAGCCTCGAAAAACCGTCGGGGGCGACGAATTCGGCGCCGATTCTGGTAAGCACCAGCTCCGCATTCTGTGAATTACCTCCCCCGCGCGTGTTTTGAACAGGATGGCGACCTTCGACAATGCCGAGGTTACCCAGCAGCTCTTTGCGAGCATTGCCGCCCTTCAGGAGGAGATGCGAGCCGATCGCAAAGCTTGGCGAAACGAGTTCCAGCGAGTAACTCGACTCACCGGCGCACAGTACGATTCGACAACGGCGACGATGCAGCAGTCGCAACAGTTTCTTGAGGCTCCGAAACCGCGCCCACCTGAGCCGTTCGATCCGAGCGATCGAAACTCCGACGCCCGCAGATGGATCGCCGGCATGGAGATCTACTTCGCAGCAGTCGGATGGAGCTCGCCAGTCTGGGACGATCAACGCGTACGACTCGCGGCGACACTAATGCAAGGGCCGGCACTCGAGTGGATCGGCGGCAACAACACCTTCATCCACGGTGAAGCCACGTGGCAGCAGTTCCGCACCGACCTGCTGAAATGCTTCGAGCCGATAAATTCAGGTTTCCTTGCCCGGGAAAAAAATGATCGACATCGACAGTTCGGGAGTGTAGCACAGTACACGCAGCAAGTGGAGGAATTTTATAACCACATTCCCGACCTGATTGAAGGGGAAAAAGTACAGTCATACCTTGCCGGTCTGAAGACCGAAGTCAAACGACAGGTAGCAGCGACGAATTACACGAGTTACAGTGACGTCGTTTCGGCAGCGGATCGATTCGACATGGTCAACGCCAGAACACGACGGGCGCACGTCGGAAGTATGCAGCAGGGCGACCGCTCAGCTCACCCCACGTTCGCCGACCCGATGGAAATCGACAGGTTCGACGGGCGGTCACGACATAAAACCACCAACTACACATGTGATTTTTGTGGGGTGCCGGGCCATCGAATCTTCGACTGCAACAAAATGAAAGTTGCACGAGCAGAGTATCGGGCACGCAACAATGGCGGAAATCCGTCGGTCAATCAGAAGACACAAAATGGGAGTCGCCAATGATTGCGGATCTAGCTGGTGAAAAAGAAAAGATCCGAAAGCGGCCGCGGGATTCCGGGAAAAACAACTTCAACGAAGCTGATACGACGCGAGCAGGAGGAAATGATGGGGGAAAATCTCCACCCCACGACCAGTCTTCGCCAAAGAAAATCGTTGAGAAAAAATCTAACTCCGCGGAAAAAGACTCTGCCAAGATGGGGAAACTCCTTGAAGACCCAAGAAATTATAAGGATTCGTTAAAGTTATCTTATAAAGATGCTTTAATGAAAACTTATGATTCTCGAGGGGCTAGAGCCTTGGAGAAAATTGGGGCAGGACTCTAGAAGAAGCAGAAAATTGTGGAGATCATACCGGTACCGAAAACTTGGGGACAAAATTAAGGAGTGTGGAAAGAAGCCGACCTTTCCACGGAGTCAACGTCCTCTTCCGACACCAGCCCACAATGACTACCCGTTCCCTAGGGAGGACGTCGGTGGAGCTGAAGTAGCTCAAGAGGAAGCTGGGGGTCTACAAGAAGCTGAAAAACCCCGAACTCCTCCTCCGGATGAATCCAGCTCAGCAACTTCGGCATCAACGACGCGCACAGTCGTCAAAGAAACTCAGGGCCTTGTGATCAACTGGGTAAACTGCACCGCAAGCATCTACAACAATGGAAGGAGAGTCCAGCTATCCAACTGGGATGATACAGGAGATATCCCAATGGAGACACTCGCACAATTCGAGAAGGACGTAAATCAAACCGACAACGGGTTCCTAGCGATAGCAACAAAGGTGGAAAACGACGGGGAGAAGACCTCGGAACCTCCAGGTAAAATCAAGGAATTACTGAAGGAGTTCCAAGACATTCTTCCTGACGACCTACCGAACGAGCTACCGCCATACCGAACGCATCAACACGAGATCGTGGAGGAACCGGGTTCGAAGCCGACCTTCCGAGCACCATATCGGCTCAGCCCCATAGAGCTAGTCGACATGAAAAACCAGATCGAGTATCTCCTCGCCAAGGGACTCATCCGGCCATCCAGTTCGCCATACGGTGCCCCAGTGCTCTTCACACCGAAATCGGACGGAAGGCTGTGCATGTGCATCGATTACTGAGCTCTCAACAAGCAGACCATCAAGAACAAATATCCGATACCACGAATCGATGACCTGCTTGACCAGCTTCGAGGAGCTACGGTATTTTCCAAATTAGATTTGCGGTCCGGTTACTGGCAGATACGAATGGCGGATAACTCCATCCACAGAACTGCCTTACGAACTCGGTACGGATCATACGATTATCTGGTAATGCCGTTCGGACTCACCAACGCACCGGCAACGTTCCAAGCCGAAATGAACCACATTCTACGCCCACTCTTAGACGAATGCATGGTGGTGTACCTGGACGACATCCTCATCTACTCGCGCGACATGAAGCAGCACGTCGAACACCTGCGACGCGTCTTCGAAATTCTTCGACGAGAACGATTCTACGTCAAAATGTCCAAGAGCGAATTCGCCATTCAGAAAGTCCAATTCCTATGACACATGGTCAGTGCTCAAGGAGTTCACGTCGACCCCAAGAAAATTGAAGCCGTACGCACGTGGAAGACACCCGAGAACGTGAAGGAGTTGCAATAGTTCCTAGGCTTCGCTAACTATTACAACAAGTCTGTGCCATAGTACGCGAAAATCGCAACACCACTTACGAATCTGCTGAAAAAGAACACGCCCTATAAATGGGAACCGCAGCACCAAGAAGCCGTGGAGCAGTTGAAACAAGCACTCACGTCAGCACCTGTACTCATCTTGCCAGACCCCGAACGCGACTACGTCATCGAAGCTAACGCCAGCGACCAGGCAGTGGGGGCAGTCTTGATGCAAGACTAGGGGAATGGACTGCAACCAATCGCCTATCTCAGCAAGAAACTACACGGGGCAGAACTCAACTACCCGATACATGACAAAGAGGCCCTTGCTATCATCATCGCCTTCAAAACGTGGAGATGCTATCTCAAAGGACGACAAACAACCGTCTACACCGACCACTGCAGCCGGAAATATTTGAAGACACAACCTTACCTCTCCATGCGGCAGGTCCGGTGGATTGACTTCCTCGAGACGCACTTCCACGATGACATCGTATACAAGCCCAGCCACAAAAACAAAGCAGACTCCCTTAGCCAGCCTGCACACGTTGCCGCCATCCAGATCGAAGGGATGAATCCATTACTAAAGGGACTCTTTACACACAGGTGTACCATCGACCTCGAAATTCCCTTGGCAGAAAAGCGACACCTGCTACCGTGGGACAGTGACATCGCGTACCGGAAAGGATCAACAAAAATCTGGGTACCCAATTACCCTCCTTTGCGCCAATTACTACTCGAAGAATACCATGATGTCCTATACGCAGGACACTTCGGTAGCAACAAGACGCTGGCCGGTATCGCGAAACACTACTACTGGCCCCATTTGGCAGAGAATGTCAAGAAATTCGTCACTTCGTGTTATACATGTCAGCGGATGAAGAGCAGCAAGCAGAAGTAGGCGGGACTCCTACAGAACAACCATGGCAAGTGGTTAGCCTGGATTTCATCACCGGTTTACCACCTACCACCAGTGGTCATGACGCAATCCTTGTCATTATCGACAAATTCTCCAAAATGGGACACTTCATCCCGACACACACGACAGCATGCACCGAAGAAACAGCACAACTCTTCGTTCGCTACATCATCTCACAACATGGCATTCCAACCACACTCATCTCCGACCGAGACCCCAAGTTCACCAGCAAGTTCTGGAAGGAACTAATGTCTCTGCTCGGAACCAAACTCGCCATGTCATCCGCCTACCATCTGCAGATAGACGGACAGACCGAGCGCCTCAACCAGATTGTCAAGCAACTCCTCCATGCAGCGTGCAAGGATGAGATCTCCAAATGGGACTTGCATCTGCCCGTTCTAGAGTTTGCTTACAATAACGCTACACATGCCGCTACTGGACAGACGCCGTTCTTCCTCTGCTACAGACGCCACCCGCTCACGCCACAAAAACCGACAGCATCAGCTACAGTCCAACCTGCACACGACTTCATCACGACCATGCATCAGCTTTGGGATCGGACCCACAAGCGCCTCCTTGATATTCAGCAACAACAGAAGCGCCAGGCCGATCGCCATTGCAACGACCACACCATCACCGTGGGAGACCAGGTGCTCCTCGACACCCGCAACCTTGATATTAGCCATCTCCCATCTAAACGTCGACCTCGCTTCTGCAGGCCTTTCCTTGTTGAAGCACAGGTCACTCCTGTTACCTTCCGCTTACGCCTGCCAGCTACCTGGAAGATTCACAACGCCTTCCATGTCCAACTTCTGAAATTCGAGCCTTCCTCCAGGGGATTTAGAGGAAATTCAAGCACTGCATTCAGAGGTGTTGCCTCTCCTTCTTCCAGCCTCCGCAGCTTCTCCTCCCAAGTCACCCTCTTCATTGGAGTCCTTGGAGTCTTGGACAGCTGCTAGTTCAACAATTGCTGCCAACTGCTTCTCGATGGAGTTGAAGGCACATGCTGCTCCGGCTGAACATCATGCGCATCGGCCTGCATGGCTGGCTGAGGGGTAGAAGCTGTCTCTCGGGACTCCTCATGGTTAGGATCAGCTGGTTCTTGCTCCTCCTGCTGCTCCGCCCCTTCATCTCTAGGGTCCTCCCATGCCCCCTCAAAGATAGAGGCCATATGAGGGTCTTGAATGGTCTGCTGCCCAGCTCCTTCCTTGACATCCACCCCCTTCTGCTCCCCCTTCTTCACACACTCCAGCAGCTGCTGCTTCCCCGCGTGCCCCATGCGAAGGTTTAGCTACTCAGGTGACAACGTTTTCACCTGCCTCCAAGGAGTGCTACATGTGGCTTCCTCAGAAGAAGCCTTATGTGCCTTGTAACAATTAGGCACACAAGCTGGAACAAGGTATAGACCCTTGTCCAGCTTTGCCTCCATCACCACAGCTTCACCCTTTCTAACATAGCACCCTCCCTCAGTAAAAGTGCAGATGTATCCCTGTTTAGCCAGCTGTGAGCATGAAAGGAGGTTTGCAGCCAAACCAGGGATGTGAAGGACCCCTTTCACACCCACTAGCTCCCCCTCCTTCCCCTTAATGGTGATCGTGCCGATGCCAATTGCCTGCAGCAAATCTCCGCTCCCAACAATCACGCTCCTAGAGTTTGGTGGGAGAGGATGGTAGGAGGTGAAGAGATCACGGCGAGGAAGCATCCCAAATGTTGCTCCTGAGTCTAGAACCAGGAATTTGGGATCAGCTGATGCACGACCAGCAAGAGCTGCATCCTGCCCTAGCATGAGAAACAAGAAACCATCATCTGAGGAGTCGTCTTGGCCCTTCCCCTTCTCATCCTCAGCAGCTGCGGCCGTTCCTCCCTTGCCACCCTTCTTATTCCATAGCCCCTTCTTCATCCTTTTCTCTACCCAATCAGGTCTGGTCACTGGTTGGGCCTCTCCAGAGTAGCCGTGAGGCTTCCATCCCTCAGGCCTACTCCAGCAACTCTTCCAAGAGTGTTTTTTGTTGCATCCGATCACAAGGCATTTGTCCAACTCTTTCTTCTTCCCCCCGCCTCCTTGCTGTTGATAGCATTTCCTGAAGGAATCTTTATCTGCTGCACCCATGCCTCCTTCTAGGCCTCTTCCAGCATCAACCTTGCAAGCCTCATCAGAAATTAGAACCTCCCAAATCCACACCTTGGTCCATTTCTGCTGCTCGAGGTGAAGGTACTATAGTAATGCCTCATTGGCCGTTTGATCCAACCCTTGGAGCGCAGTATAGATGATCTCCTTCTCATATACCGTGTAATCCAGCTCCTCCAAAGCCCTCACATTCTCATCCACCCTCTGGAGATATTGAACCATGGTCTCCCCCTCCCCATAGTTCCGCTCCATGGTGTAAAACCGCTTCCGCCAAGTAAGTACACTTAGAAGCCATTTCTGCAAGTGCCTATCGTGTACTCTTTTCGAAGCTGTAGCCGCTGCACCTTCCTTCCCCTTCAGGTCAATCAGCATCTTAAGAAGCTCAAGCTGCCCCTCCAAAGCCCAACACAGGTAGTGAAATGCCTGGCAATCCTTCCGATCCCATGCTTCTTGAGCTTTGAGTAACTCCTCGCTACTTGGTTGCGACCTTCCGGTTCGAGGCGCAGCGGTCCCTCCTTCATTCCCCCCACTCAACAACGCTCCCCCAGCCCCGGATCCCACTTGGCTGGTTGCTCCAGTAGAAGCCTCCCCAGAGTCAGCTTGTGGTCGCTTCTCAGATCCATCCAACACACTTTCTAGGTCCTTAATACCTAGCCATAATGTGAACTGGAACCTCCATAGCAAAAAGTCCGAGCCGGTAAACATAGGAGGGCCATCCAACTTTTGGGCCATGTCAAACCCTAGATCTAGAGCAATTCAAACCTCTCTAGATCTTTTCCAATGGGGGAAAGAACGTCCTATAACCGTGGCTCTGATACCACTGATGGAAATCGTGCAAATCTAGAGAGAATTAATTAGAGATTAAGTCTGATGAACTCAACGAAACATTGCGTGCAGCTCAGGTGACATCTAGAACTGAGCTTGTACGCGTTGGAAAGGTCTTAATCTCTAATTTCCAGAATGGTAAAGCACGTTCATAACCAAGATCTGAGCCGCCGATTATGACGAAATCAGTGTGAGGGGATATTTTGGTGATTTAGCTAGGCAATCATGAATCACCTAGTAAAAACGAGAGGGGGCGGTAGTTAGATCTGGAAAATTTCGAGTATGTGATTGTCAAACACCAACAACCCTCGCCTTGGACCAAACCCCAAGACTCCCAAGTGCCACAATTGCATCATCAAAGATGTTGTAGTGGGTTTGGGGTTGTATGGGTTGAAAAGGAAACGAGATCAAACCTAGCCAACCAACCCAAGATCTTTTGCCCAAATCCCAATAGACCACAACCAGCTAGAGCAAACTACACCACAGAACACTACACATTTATCAGACAAACCTTGAGTACTAGTCCAACCTAAGTCAGCAAGAGTACAAACAAGACAGGAGCAAACCAGGGCGGCACTACTAGTCCGGCCACTACAAGAGAAGCCACAAGGCCAGTCTGAAAGGTATATATAAAGAGGAGTACACCATCAAGGTCCCAGGAAGTGAGAATCTTTAGAAACTAGGCCAAGCTGCAAACAATGCCGCTGATGATCTTTAGGCGCAAGCGCCTTAGTACGGATATCAGCTGTGTTGGCACCGGAGGCCAAGTGTACTACGCCGGCCTGGCGACGCTCCTGTAGCTCATGTAGGATAAAGTACCGCAGCTGAATGTGCTTCGCTCTGCCCTCAACTCGAGGTTCCTGATACAGGAGGATCATGGCCCTGTTGTCAGCATACAGAATCTGGGCACAGCTAGGCCGCTCACCTAAGTCGGTGAGCAGGAAGGTCAGCCAGCGGAGCTCCTGTGCCGCCATGGCACCAGCGTAGATCTCAGCCTCATAGCTAGACTAGGCAACAGACGAGGAGGGAGTGGACCTCCACGAGATGGCACCTGAACCAAGGCTAAAGCAATAGCCCTCAGAGGACCTAAGGGTCTCAGCGTTGTCTGCACAAGAAGCGTCTGTGTGCCCGGTAAGGACCACTGGCCTGCGTCCTCCCAGCACTAACCCCATGCGCGATGTGCTTGCTACATAACGCAAAACCCTCTTAGCGCCCGGCCAGCGCTTTGGTCGGTGTCTGCCTGTGGCCACAAAGCGCGCCAAGATGCTGGGAGGGTATGCGAGATCTGGACGAGTGCAAGTTATCAGGTACATCAGGGAACCCATTAGCTCTGTGTAAGGACCACTAGGTTCTACTGACTCCTTAGGAACTGGAGCCGAGAGCCTATAGTCTACTGGCAGAGGTGTGGGCTGTGCGTAGGAGAACTGAAGACTGAACCGCTGAAGGACCTGGCACACCAAGTGTGACTGTGTGAGAGTGATGGTGCGCGCTGCTCTGTCCCTGGAGATCTGCAGGCCAAGGTAGCAGTGCAGCTCTCCTAGGTCAGTGCAGGTGTGTCTCCTCAGCAGCTCGGCCTTCATGGAGGCCAGTGCGTCTCTGTCTGCTGTAGCGAAGACCAGGTCGTGTATGTAGACAAGGATGTAGAACAGAGTCTGGCCAGCACGAACGAAGAGCGAGGGGTCTGCAGAGGATGGAAAGAATTGCAGGTTAGCTAGCGTAGCATGCAGCGTGTTGTGCCACTCACGGGGCGCCTGTCGTAGGCCGTAGACCGGGTGCCGGAGGAGCCACTGGGTCCCGGGAGGGAAGGTACAGGTGAAGCCCTGCGGACGGCACAAGTAGACCTGCTCGTGTATACTGCCCTGGAGAAACGCTGTGAAGAAGTTGAGGGGGTGTAACTCGTAGTCACGGTGTGCTGCTACGTGTAGCAGCGCCCGAAGAGTCGTCATCTTCGGGGTCAGGGCGAAGGTCTGAAAGAAGTCCACCCCCTCACGCTGATTGAAGCCTCTAGCCACGTAGTGCGCCTTGAACACAGGCGGCTCTCCAGGTGGGCGCTTCACCTTGAAGAGCCATCGGCCATCCACTACGTTCACCCCAGGTGGGGGAACTGCGTCGATGTAGGTGCCGGTCGATCTCCAAGATGCCATCTCCTGTTTCATGGAAGCTATCCACTAAGAGGCACAGGGTCCCGAGGTCGCCTCAGCGTAAGTGCGAGGGGTCGGGATGTCAAAGGGGTCGGGATGTTAAAGGCGTCTGGATCATTCTCAGGGACTAGCAGCATGGAACAGAGATGGGGAGCGGCCTTGGACACGAAAGCAATCTCGTACTGCCTGTCGTCTAGGACGTCACTGCCAAGGGCAGGCGCACCCCTGACGGATGGAGGATGGACAGGGTCAGAGACCAGAGCGGTGGCATAGTCAAGGCGGCAGGTAGAGGCAAAGTTAGCTACAGCAGCGACACGCATCAAGACTCGAGAGAAGAACAGACGGATCAGTAATGAGGGAGGCAAGGACCTGAGGAACAAGAGGACGAGCAGCACGAAGGTAGCCATATAGAGGGGGAGGCGCGACAGCGAGCGACGACGGAGGTGGCGTAGGCAGGAGGGGAGGATGAGACACGTGGGAACCAGGGCATATGTTATCAGAGCATATGCCCTGAATTGACTGAAATTCTAAGGTAGTTTTCATACCAACCCTGATCTGGGTTCGTTTTCACCCAGCCCTGACACAATGCGGGAGGATCTCAAGAGATCCTGGAAACTCCGAGTAGAGTTTTTGGTAGCCCTGATTTTTCCCACTACCCACACCCTCCCCTTCCGGATGCCCCCCGCTAGAATACAAGTTTCTCCCACTCTCCTAACACCCGTCACTCTTCCTAAGACTCGGCTACCAGGTGACTCCAATGAGCCGCGGAGCGTGGAACAACCATCAAGTATAAACCTTGGAAATGTGTGCCCTCCGAGCATTTCTTCGGCCGGCCCTGAAAAATTAGGGCAGTGCATATTCGGACCCTGGGTTTTCCGGGTGAAATTCGGGGTGAGCCCTGAGCGTCAGAGTTGCTCAAAAACCTAACATAAGCCATGGTGGGAACGAATCAAAATAAGGTGAGAACGCTGAACAAGAGAGACAGGACGAGCACGAGTGGGACGCCGAGACCAGATGTGAGACGGAGGTGTCTAGTCAGTAGACAGAGGACGAGACACAAGAGGGGAACGAGGGGGGAGACGAACCGGAGACGAGTCCGGCGGAGGGAAAACAGGGCCGTAGACAGGAAGGGGAGGAGGCGGCGGGTGAGACACAGGCGAGCGGTCAAGGGAGGGAGGGCTGAGCAGGCGAAGGGCGGACACCGGCGGCGACTGCTGCTGCTGCTTCAGGACACCGACACCTGGACCGCTAGCTGCACCACGGTCACCTCCAAAACACTCCACTTCAGCACCCCCAGAATGAGCACCCCCAGAGCGAGAACTCTCTCCAGCACCGGTGCCACTCCCAGGCCTGCCGGGACAAGCCACGATAGGAACCCCAGGACTAGCACCCTCCCCAACGCCAGCACCCCCAGAGTCCACGAGCGGCTGCAGCTGCGGCGGCGGCGGCTGCTGCTGCGGTGGCAGCAGCTGCTGCTGCTGCAGCTATAATGACGGCTTCGGCGGCTGCTGCGGTGGCGACTGCGACGATGGAGGAGGAGACACCGGGGGAGAGGCAGGCGGCAAGAACAGCACCGCGGGGACACCAGAGTCAGCCAACTCCTCAACCGGGACATCCGACGGGAGCGGAGTGACGTGAGACACACCAAACGGAACAGGACGGGAAGGGAGGTGAGAAAGGGCTATCGGGGGAGTGGGAACCAGAAACAGGGGAGGGGAAATGGGGAGACCTCGGTGAGGAAAGCGGTGGTAAAAGGAGACAGACTCGTCGAAAGTGGCGTTACGGGAGTGAAAGAAGCGGCGAGACGGCTGTTGTGTGATGTCATCATATGCTATCACATTCTGTCTGCCTCCCATCCCATATTTTTCAACTTGCATGTGTGGTTTGAACGTGTGCAAGAATTTGTGTGTGATGTGTTCTGGAGTTTGGGAATGTGTTTTGTGTTATTTTGTTTGAGCAGGTTTTTGTGATGATAGATCTTGAGAAGATCTTTCCGACGCAACGAGAATCCCTTCAATCGGAGCAAGAACGCGAAAGCTATGAAGATTCAAAGTTCATGAGCTTGCGTTACAATTGCGGCGGTTACTAAGTGAAGTTGTGGGGTGACTTTATATGGAGTTGGGACCTTTGGGGTTGGGGAAACTTGTCACTCTACTGTAACAGCTGCAAATTGGTTGGGAACAACCAAGCTAGGTTGGCAAGGGTGGCCAACTTGGATGGATTGGTTGGGAAGGGACAGTTGGGGTTCCTATAGGGAGGGAATCTTTGTGCTTATGGGGTTTCCTTGGTTGGGGACTCTCTTGGGACCTTCCCTCTCATCCCTCTCTTCCTATCCCAACCTTTCTCTTGCTCCTTCTAATTCCTTGTGAGATTCTTGAACTTTGATTGAACCTTTGAGATTGAGTTAAGTTCTCCTCCTACAGCTTACCCCCTAGTGCGTCGAAAGCCATAGCGTCGCGAATACTTTATCAATCAACATGATTCAAATTGGGAACGGTAGCTGAGATTAAGAGCTACAACATATCCAAGTTTCGCGACATTCCAACGGCTAGTTGTTTGTCGACGTCGTTTCTTGTGAAGACGACTTTTCTGTCCAGAATTTCGGATTTATATTTTGAGTAATTCTAGCTCCTAAGTTCACCTAGACTCCGTCCTTAATCCTAACAAGTGGTATCAGAGCGATATTAAGGACATTGAGAGGAGTCTACAGAAGTGTGAAGACCCTTCTAGACCCACCATGGCCTGTGGGTGTGCCTAAGTGGTGTTCTAAAGGTTGGATGTGTCTTCCGCTAAGGGGAAACTCTGCCGAAATTTCGTGGACGCCGACACTTGTGAAAATATCGAGGGAGCTGAGTGTGGACAGCAAAGGGGAGCTGAAATTCGTCATTTCTCAAGGAGAAGATGAATGAGAGAGGAGGAGATGCTAATGGAAGAGGAGCTGTAGCTGAGAAGACAAGTGAGCCGCCGCCATCAAAAGTTGAAGCTTTGGATGGCTCCAACTATGAGGAATGGAGCGGACGGATGAGGAGTGCCTTCAAACGCTACAAGCTACTGAAGATTGCTGTTGGGGAAGAGAAGATGCCAGAAGAAGGCGAAGCACGCGAACCGTGGATTGAGAAAAGCGCGGTGCTTTTCGACCTCATCCTTCAATCGGTCAACAAGGAGATGTTCGAGCACATCAAGGATCTTGTGGAAGCGGATGATTCGGGTCCAAGGGCGTGGAAACTACTACGCGATGTGATTCAGCCCAACACTCTCCCGATGGTGATCGTGCTCGAGAAGGAACTTGCTGCCATCTCCATGCGACCAGGGGACGATGTGAAGCCGGTCCTTGACAAGATCAAGAACACCTATGCAAGGATGGCAGCAGCGGGCAGCAGTGTATCTCAGCTGCAGCAGTGCACCAAGATCATCTCGGTGTTGGACAACTCTTGGGACAACCTCATCCCCACCCTCAACTCTCAGCAAGATCAATGGACACCTGAGTGGCTAAGGCAGCAGATTCTGCAGGAGGACTTCCGCAGACGCCATGTGGGAGGCGGTGCTGCCACTAAGACTGCTGAGGGGTATGGAGCTGCAGGGCGCGGCAAAGGAAGAGGGGGTTGGAAAGGCCGAGGCCGTGGGAGAAGCTTTGGCAGAGGTAGAGGCCGAGGTGACTATAATGAGGGGCATGGGAGCTCCAGTGGCAGGGGGAGTACCAGAATGGAGGGCACCTGCTGGTACTGCAAGAAGGTCGGGCATCCTTGGTTCAAGTGCTTCAGCAGGCTGGAGGGATGGTCACCTCCAGGCATGAAGCCGCCAAGTGGTGAACGCGCACAAGGTGGCGCTGTGCAAGGCTCAGGTGCACAAGGTGAAGGTGCACAAGGTAACGCCTATCCTGGGATGTATCTCATGGTTGAGGATGTGCATGGGCATGAGGGTGATGTGGGATCTGTGGGAAAGGTTGTGATGCACCCTCTCACGCACTGGGTGATTGATTCAGGTTGCACCAGTCACATGACCCCACGGGCAGATTTGCTTGATGAGGTAAAACCCCCTGGGAAGATTAAGTATGTGGCAGCAGCGTCAGGTGCTTTGCTCCCCGTGATTGGTGTTGGAAATGCCAAGGTTAAGGGAGCTAATGGGGAGCTTGTGGGGCTTGGGAATGTTCTGCTAGTTGAAGGTTTGTCTGCTAACCTTCTCTCTGTGCGGCGACTGCAGAAGAGTAAGGCCGAAGTGACCTTTGGACCAACCAGCTGCCGTGCTAAGCTTGGGAAGAAGGTGCTGTGGAGTCTGGAAGAGGAGACCAGCTGCATCAAGGACCTGTGGCAGCTGCCCATCATCCCTTGGAATGGGAAGACTCCAACAGCAGCAACGGCAGCAGCGGCAAAGGCAACAGCAGGAAGAGATGCAACTGCACCAACTGATGGGGTCCTGGAAGCAGTCAAGAAAGTGCAGCAGCAGCAGACACATGGTGAGGTGCTTGCTGGTGTGGATGCGAGTGCGGCATGGGCTAAGGCTTCATCAAGGAGTGGAGAGGCCGATTGGGAGACATGGCATGAGAGGCTGCGTCATGTGAACTTCCCTATGCTGCAGAAGTTGGTGAAGGATGGGAGCCTGAAAGGATTGGAGGTAAAGGGGGATTGAAGGAGATTGGGAGCTGCCCTACATGCTTGGAGACCAAGTTCTCCAAGTTCCCCTTCAACAGCACTACAGGACCAGCCAAGACCCCACTTGCACTTGTGCACATGGATGTGGTGGGGCCCACAAGAGCCCCTTCCCTCTCAGGCAGCCGCTATTTCTTGACAATTGTGGATGACCACACTCGGGCAGTGTGGGTTTACCCTTTGAACAGCAAGGGGGAGGTGGCAGCGGCTGTCCTTAAGGAGTGGATGCCTAGAGCTCAGAGGGAATGCGGACACAAGGTGAAGGTGATCCGCAGTGACAATGGTGGGGAGTTCATTGGAGCTGATTTTGAGGGGGAGTTGAAGAGGAAGGGGATCCAGCATCAACTGACAGTGCCCTACAACCCGCAGCAGAATGGCGTGGCTGAGAGGTTCAACAGGACCCTGCAGGAGGGGGCACGCACTCTCCTTGGGCGTGCAGGGCTGCCTGATCCGTTTTGGGTGTCTGCATTGAGGCAGGTCGCCCTTGTGAAGAATAGGGTGCTGGCTACAGTTGGGGATAAGGAGTGGATCCCATATGTCAAGTGGTATGGGAGTGCTCCAGCTGTGAACATGCTGAGGGCATTTGGGTGCATGGTAGTGTTTCATGTGCCTAAGGAGAAAAGAGGGAAGTTGGAGGCTTCTGGAAGATGGGGTGTGCACTTGGGGATTGCAAAGGATCACAAAGCGTGGCTGCTATGGGACTTGACCACCCAGAAGCTGACAGTGTCAAGGGATGTGAAGTTTCTTGAGTCCCTGTACTACAAGGAATGGAAGCAGCAGCAACAGAAGCTTCCATCTACACCGCTCATTGTGGAGGTAGATGAGGTGCAGCAGCCTTCAAGACAGGTGGAGGTTGCAGTGTCAGAGGAGGAGATGTCTGGGGTGACTGAGGAAGGGGGAGCAGCTGAAGTAGAGCAGCAGCAGCAGCAGCATGAGTCTCCACCTCGAGTTCCACACCCGCCTGAGCGACCTAGGAGGGATGTGCGCCCTCCAGTGAGGCTGACCTATGGGGGAAGAGGCAAGCCGAATGTGGTGCAGGCTGGGAGTGTGGTTGAGCAGATTGAGGAAGATGAGATTGCATTATGCTATTGGGCTGCAATTCCTCAACCCAAGGTACTGACGCTAGCTTCAACTCAGTGAAAGCGGATGGCACCAGCATTGGGGGATATGTGTGCTTGCTAGGAGGTGGTGCTGTGAGCTGGCGCAGCAAGAAGCAGAATGAGGTGGGATTGTCCTCATGTGAGACTGAGTACATGGCCTTACACCATGGGGCCAAGGAAGTGGTGTGGCTGAGGCGCTTGTTGGAGGAGTTGGGAGTTGGTCAGGAGGAGCCGACAGTTGTGTTCTGTGACAATGAGTCTGCTGTGAAGCTCGCCAAGAATGCTTGTCTGCATGGGCTGACAAAACACATAAGGCCTAAGTGGCATTGGGTGAGGAGACTCCTCAATAAGGAGGTGCGGCTGGAGATAGTGAAGACCCATCAGCAGGCAGCAGATATTTTCACCAAGCGTCTGGCGGAGGCGGATCATTGGAAGGGCATGAAGCTTGCTGGGATGAGTGTGCATTGAGTATGCATGCTTGAGATGTTGGTATGGTGGATGATGGTTGGCAGCCAGAGGGGGAGATTGTTGTGTGATGTCATCATATGCTATCACATTCTGTCTGCCTCCCATCCCATATTTTTCAACTTGCATGTGTGGTTTGAACGTGTGCAAGAATTTGTGTGTGATGTGTTCTGGAGTTTGGGAATGTGTTTTGTGTTATTTTGTTTGAGCAGGTTTTTTGTGATGATAGATCTTGAGAAGATCTTTCCGACGCAACGAGAATCCCTTCAATCGGAGCAAGAACGCGAAAGCTATGAAGATTCAAAGTTCATGAGCTTGCGTTACAATTGCGGCGGTTACTAAGTGAAGTTGTGGGGTGACTTTATATGGAGTTGGGACCTTTGGGGTTGGGGAAACTTGTCACTCTACTGTAACAGCTGCAAATTGGTTGGGAACAACCAAGCTAGGTTGGCAAGGGTGGCCAACTTGGATGGATTGGTTGGGAAGGGACAGTTGGGGTTCCTATAGGGAGGGAATCTTTGTGCTTATGGGGTTTCCTTGGTTGGGGACTCTCTTGGGACCTTCCCTCTCATCCCTCTCTTCCTATCCCAACCTTTCTCTTGCTCCTTCTAATTCCTTGTGAGATTCTTGAACTTTGATTGAACCTTTGAGATTGAGTTAAGTTCTCCTCCTACAGCTTACCCCCTAGTGCGTCGAAAGCCATAGCGTCGCGAATACTTTATCAATCAACATGATTCAAATTGGGAACGGTAGCTGAGATTAAGAGCTACAACATATCCAAGTTTCGCGACATTCCAACGGCTAGTTGTTTGTCGACGTCGTTTCTTGTGAAGACGACTTTTCTGTCCAGAATTTTGAGTAATTCTAGCTCCTAAGTTCACCTAGACTCCGTCCTTAATCCTAACAACGGCAAGTGGTAAAAGTGCCAGTTAGACGAGTCAAGGGGATAACCAAGGAAGACACAGGGGACATTGTGGGCAGTGAGCATGTCCTGTTAATTGCACATCATCATGAGTGCATATCATCCTAATGTCCTGCCGTATGATCATCTCATTCGTGCATGCATGTGTGCATGAGCATATATCACATTGCTCGCCATCTTGGATATTCTCATCATCCTGATTTTCTCCCAAGATTGAATGCATGGAAAATGCAGGAGAAAGCATGAGCATTCCAACGACCCCAAGATCGCCCCAATCTGACCGATGATGCCGAAGTTACAAGAATCCCAAGATTGGAAGTTCTAATGACAAATGCTATACCTCGGGTATCTCATGGGTCTTATATTGGGGATCTTGTGGTTAGATGGTTGGGGAGAAAACTTTGACTTTTGGTTGGGGTGGCTTGGTTGCTACAAGCCAAAATGTGCAAGTGTTGCAAATGTTGCAACATCTTGCCAAATCCAATCTCTTTGGATTTGGCATGTGTCCTCACATGGGCAACTTGGAGAGGGGCCTATGGTGTGCTTCTAGGAAGGTTCTAAACCATTCCTAGACATCAGGAAACCTTGTTTCCCTTCCAGGGCCCTCTTAGAGGTCTGAACCCCGAACCATGTCTATATGGTTGTGTGTCTTGCAAGTTCTATCTACTTTTCTAAGGCAACGACCAGCAGTTACGTTTTGATTCAGTTCTCACTCTAGAGTTAATCTTTTCACCTGATTTAAATTTCAGATGACTCTAGACTTATAGGCGCGTCCTTCCACCGAGCAGATTGGCGTTTGGTTGAGTTGAGGTTCTGCTTAATTCGTGCAAAGTAGGCCGATCCTATCAACATGTCCGTGCCAAAGGCATGAACGTGAGCGAGGCAGCCCCAGACGTGGAACGCAGACGCGTCACCAGGGAACCTGGTCCAAAGAAGGGTCGGTGAAACCTGCGGCCGCTGGGAGCGCAGCCACAGGTTAAGCTGGTGAGCGGCGTAGCGAACTGCGTACGGCCACAGAAAATGGGGTGCACCGGCATGGATCATGGAGATACGAGCCACCTCCATGACCAAACTGATGCGTCGCTCAGCGACCCCATTCAGCTGTAGGGAGTCCGATAGGGTGTACGAATGGGTGATGCCCTCCGCACGACAGAACTATTCAAGCCGACCAGAGGCGAACTCACCGCCACAGTCGGAGTGGAGTCACACCTCAGGGAGACCACGGTGGAGGCACGCAGCTACGACCCATGGGATATGAACGTCAGGCACGTCGGCCTTCAGCTCCAGGGGAAACACCGAGTTGTAGCGCATGTAGTCATCGACGAGCATGAGAAAGTAGCGCTCGCGACGAGGTCCGGGGTCGGGGGCTGGGCACCTGATGTCCAGGTGCAGGGTCTTGAGGGGTGCAGTGGCAGGGCGAAGTGAGGAGGAGTGAGGAGCATGCTGCAGTCGGCCCTCGACGCAGGGCGTGCACGGCGGCGCAGGTGAGGGAGGGAGGGCAGGAAGCGATGCAGGGAGACCTAGGACGAGACCGTGCTGGGACATGTGACGCAAACTTGGGAGTGCGGGGCGACCTAGGCGGTGGTGCCACAGGAGCGATGGGTTAGTGAGCGACCTGGGTAGACGCAGGGCCCGAGGAGGACTCCCCAACTGGGGGGGAAGCAGTGTCCAGCGTAAACAAGCCAGACACCGAGTCCCGTGGGAACATCGCAAGGGGGGAACCTGAGGTGGCCTCGGTATAGACAGCGGACCGCTCGTGACCAGGGAACATAGTGGTGACACCGAGGTCCGCAAGACAGTCGACACGAACTAAGTTCCCGGAGAACGAAGGGATGTGCAGGCTTGTAAGGGAACCCGAGGGAACCGCTGGACAGGGAAGGGTAATTTAGCTGGTAGCAACGGCAGGACCAGCAGAGGGGTCAGCTAGTGCGACAGGGGTAGGTGCGGCAAGCGGCGTGAGTGTGGAGTGGTCGCGGAAGAAGCAGGCTGACGCACCGGAGTCAAGTGTGAAGAACAGCGAAGTAGTAGCATCAGACGAAGGAGGAGCGAGTGTGGAGCTAAGCTAGACAAAGCAAACGCCCCTATGCTTGACAGGGCACGGGAGTCTGTACTACGCACAGGTGCTACGTCTCAGCTAGAGAACACAGGGTAATAAGATACGAACACACTAGAAGCGTCAGTATACACAGTATGCAGGGCACAACTAATCTGATCCATGTCTAAGTAAAAAACAGGCACACCGTGGTGCAGCATACTAGGCTAGTCTGGGAGGTCCGGGGCTGGGCCGAAGTGGCGACGGAAGAGGTCGTCGAGGCGGCGAAAGCAGTAGGCGGTCGGGTGCGGGCGGCGGCACACAGTGCCTCGGAGGGGCCCGGTCTAGAGCTGGTACTGGTAGCTCACAGCACTGAAGCCTCCGGTAGACGCCGAGCTGCGAGGGCCGCCATCGCGGCCACCACCTCCTGGGGCTCCTGGCCACCCCGGCAGGAGGCGGGCCCACGGCTGCTTCTCCTGCTGCTGCTGCTGCTGCTGCGACTACAGCGGTTGCGTCTACTGCGACTGCTACTGCTGCTCCTGGACACCAGCTCCAACCCCCTGGCAATAAGGTACAGGGTAGCGCAGAACGGTGGAGGGAAGGCAATGAGCTAGGCAGCAGAGCTAGTAGCGTTGTAGCTAGTCTCTAGTGAATCGAGGTGAGTGGCGAGGTCAGCGACAGTGGGGAAAGCGGAAAGATGCAGCAGTGAAGCGCGGACGCTCAGACAGGGGAAGCGCATGACTAATGGCGAGCTGTGCTACAGCATCGCGAGAATCCCAGACAGCGCGAGCGAGCGCAACAGCAGAAAATGCCTCACTCTTAGCAGTGGTGGGGTCAGCAAGGAGGGAATCAGGTACGGGGGGGCGGGGAAGCAAGCCATCAATATGCATAGCCAGGGAGTGCCCATCCTAGCGCTGACCAGCCAGGTGCCGGCGAAGAACGACAAGCCAAGTGGCGAAGGCGATCGCGTGCTCGTCCGCATCCAGGCGAAGTACGGCGTCCGCCATCGTGCAACCTCAGTGGCGCAGGTCCACGGCGGCACAGTGTCACGGTGGCACAGCGTCACAGCGGCACAGGGACATGGTGGCACAGCGGCCCAGGTACTCAGCGGCGTGGCGGCAGGACTCTCCGGCAGGAAAACTGGGCGAAAGGCCAAGGAGGGCCCAAGGTGCGCAGGGCCCGAGGTGCGCAAAGCCGGCAGGGCGCAAAGGGTTGGCGAGGTGCGAAGGGCCGTCGAGGTGCGAAGGGCCGGCGAGCACGGGAGGGGCCGGCAAGGTACCGATGAACCAGCGAGTGCGAGAGGGGCAAGCGAGCGCGAAGGGCCAGCGAGGTGCGTGAGGGGCCGGGCGGGTGCACGAGAGGCCGGCAGGGTACGCGAGGGGCTGGCGAGCACGCGAGGGGCCGGCTAGGTGCGAGGGGCCGGCTGGGCGCGAGGGGCCGGCTAGGTGCAAGGGGCCGGCTAGGCGCGAGGGGCTGGTGGGGCGCTAAGGGGCCAGCACGGCGTGCTAGGGGCCGGCGAGGTACGCGAGGGGCCAGCGTGGAGCTTAAGGGGCGGCGAGCACGTTAGGGGCCGGCAAGGTGCGCGAGGGGCCGGCGGTGCGCTAGGGGCCGGCGGGTACGCTAGGGGCTGGGGGGGATGCTAGGGGCCGGCGAGGTGCACTAGGGGGCGGCGGTACTCTAGGGGCCGGCGGTACGCTAGGGGCCGGCGGTACGCTAGGGGCTGGCGGGTACGCTATGGGCCGGCGGACGCGCTAAGGGCCGGCGGGGTGAGCGAGGGGCCGGCGGGGTGAGCGAGGGGCCGGCGGGGCGCAAGGGGCCGGCAAGGCACGATAAGGCTAGGGTACAACTGGACGGTAGGCTAGGGCGAGCGGTGGAAGCGGGTGGGCGGACCTAACCCACTATAATTCCATGTTAGAATACAAGAATGACTAGAAACTGTTGTGATATAATCGTACTTAAGCATTTTTGTAAGTAGTTCCGATAGATATTATTGAGTTACACAGTAGTAAGCATCCGTTGAATGACGTCAGCAAATAGCGTTCGTCTGGATGATTACGTCAGCAGGTCGTTTCAGTCACGCGAACAGTTGCGTCCCTTTCAGTAGCGATTAGAGCGCATAGTGCAAATAGTTTTGAACAGATACATTGCCGAACAGGTACTTCTAGCACATATAAAGGTAGCTTGTATGACTTCAATGATTTACTTGTTCTTGAGTAAATTCTGGTCAACACTTACATATTCTAAGACTTCCGCTGTCTTCCTAGTCTTTCATTCCAACAAAGATCCTTGATCAAAGTCTTGAAGTATCACAAGGCTGTAACACTGATTCTGGTGTTACAACTTCTTAATATTGGCTGTTACTGGAAGTACTTCCAGTATTACTTTCTACTTCAAGTACTCGTGTCTGCAGATTCTATACGTAGTCTCCTGCATCACTTTTCAATTTCTTACATGGTATGAGAACAATTTGGAATTAAGACTATAGTCAACTATACAAATGACTGGACCATCATCAGCTCCAACATCTGGTTCTTCAACAACTAGACCCACAGGTATTACACATCCTACAGTTTTCATAGGACAAGCACGTGATTCTGCAGCAAGAAATTTTCCACCTGCATATTCTTCAATCGGGATGCCTCAACAGC